TTCACAAAGTTGCACCGGTGAGCAAAAACCAGATCTGACAAATACAAATTAAGTAAATTATACACAATTACAGAATTGTGCAAAATTGATAAGTGAAACAGTGAAAAAAAGGAAAATTCATTTATCACTGTGTCGCTCTTACGTATTTCATTCATTGTGCCCTTGGGTTCAGCAGCAGGACAAAGATCCAGCAGCGAGTCCACCTCTGAGTGGGTAAAGCAAACCAACATGAAGACTTTGGATTGGCCCAGTCCTGACCTGAACCCGATTGAGATGCTGTGGGATGACCTTAAAGGCGGTTCATGCTCGAAAACCCACCAAATGTGGTTGTAGTAAAACAGTTTGCAAAGATGAGTGGGCCAAAAAGTGCTGCAAAAGACTCGCTGCCAGTTATCACAAAGGCTCGATTGCAGTTGTTGCTGTTAAAGGTGACCCAATCAGTGCTTCACACAGTACGTTTGGATTTTTCCCCTTAATAAGAAAAACACCTTCATTTAGAATCTGCGTTCTGTGTTTACTTGTGTTATCTTTGTCTAATATTTAAATTTGTTTGATGATCTGAAACATTTAAGTGTAACAAACATAGAAAAACACAGGAAATCAGGAAGGAGGCAAACACTTTTTCAGTGTTCTCTGTGCTGGTGCCATCCTGGCGCGCACCAAACATTTTTGTTCATTTCTGCTGAATCATCTGACATCTCAGGATGCTACAGTCCCCACTGACATTCTCACCAACAGTTTGGGCTGCACGAAGCTTTAAATGTTAAAAAACGCCTGGTGTTTCAGTTGACTCCCAGTTGACGCTTTAGCACTGACAGTGTTCAGAATAGCTCGAGGTCCTTCCATCACCATTAGTGGTCCTAGTGTCAGTTTGAAAGGGAATTTGATCTTAACCTTGTATATATTTGAGGACCACCGTTAGACAGAATGGACCTAAAGACTGAGAATAAACAGTCAGAGAAATACTTCTGCAGAATCCGGAGGTGATGTTGAACAGAAGAGGGACAAATTTAAATCAGGCAAAGGTTTCGATTTATTGGGTTGTTTCCAACGTTACATTATACATTGGTTACAAAAAAAACCTGATTTTGATACATACACATCTTTCATGAGTCAGTCTAGAGAAAAAGCACTCTTGAGTATACAATGGCAAGTGACCAGTATTACCAGTTGACTGACCCTTGCAGATACGTAGTGGGATGACAGTGATTGTTTTATATTACTTGTGTAACATCTCGCGTCTGTTGTGTTAGTACATCCCTGTGTCATTGACATCCACCCTCAGGACTGCTTCACCTGAATCAGACATGGAGGCACTGACAACAACGTAGTCACCTTCATAAGAAATGCAGGACCCGTCAGCCTTGGCTCTCACGAAACTATTTTCACTCCCATTATACATGATGTCGTAAAGATTATAGTCGCAGTCGGTTCCTTTGTCAAAGATCCCCACGGCAAACCAGTTGGAGTAGAGGCTTCGATCATACGGCACGGAGAACATGACAGCCATGACGTGGCTATAGTCGTTCGTGTCAGGATTGAAAAGGTCATAGGTGAAGACTCCAACTGCTCCAGTTGCACTGCCAGTGTCCTTGTTAAACAGTGCACTGGCTTCAGAGCAGGGACCTACCATGGGTGGCAAAGGGACCTCGCATTTGCCGCTCTCACTGAAAGCCCTAAGCATGGAGACACAGTGTGTTAGATGGGTCTGACAGAAACACTTTGACCAATTCTTCTGGTTATACTTTCCAATAAGTAAACACTGTTTATCTAAACTATGTAACAATAATGCAGTTAATAGGACACATTACATGGAAAACAGTAGGGCTGCC